TTCTCCGTATGACGCACAGTGAACGCTATGCAATGTTTGGTAGATGGATAGATGAGTGGAGATTGGTAAATCATTGTTCTTTTTTAATAAATATCCTTCGCAACTGTTAGAGTCTATCTAAAAATTTTTTTGAATACTAGGAAAAATTTGAAACATTAATCCACACAGCTCTTTCAGGCAATCCTGAATATTTTTCTTTGAATTATGACATTAATGCATAGCTTGGGTTTGTGAATCAGGATTTTTACTTTCATTTTGGATAATAACCAAAACTAAAGTTATGTCCATTTTCGGTTAATAGTGTCAACCTTAAAAATCAAATTTGTAAATCTATAATTATTAAATTAAGAACTTTACGTTAAAGAATGATTTAGCGACTAAGCAGGGTATGTTGAATAAAATGAAATATTATTAGGTTTAATAGTTATATTGAATATAGTATGTAACAATAATAATTGAAAAATGAAGCTTTTCTCATCTAAAGAGTATAATAAAACCTTGAAATTCGAGTATAAATGCCTAATAGTTTTTAAGAAAGTATGTAGTGAGACGACTAGATGATCCAATCCCCAGTCTCACAAGACAATTGAAACTAGGAAAAGGTTATTATAATATTCTTAGAATCTATGGAAATAAAAGTAATGATTTGAATTGGTTTATTTTTTATTTTATTATTATTTTATTACTTAATTATGCGAGAACTAATGTGTTACGTGAAGTTGATATGATGTAACAGCATAAAAGTCTTCTGAAAGAAAACATAGCCCATTGAATATATATATTAAAAAAAGCTTCGGAACTTATAATAAATATTTATCTTTCTTCGTTCAAATCATAATTAATATTTAAGCCACACCTTATTGACGTTATAGCATTCAATTCAATACAAAATTGAAGTTTTCATTGGTAAAAGCTTTCTATTAAGGATACCGAAAAGATTCGAAAATTATACTGACTTACTAGTGAAACACATTGAAACATATCAGCTTTTTATATTGACTAACTTGTTATCGATTGGTTACCTAAATCAGCAACCACTTCTAAGAAAAGAGAACTCAAACCAAATTCATACGCGTCTTAAACAAGAAAAATATTTGAATTATTAGCCGTAAAATAAATTTAAAAGTGTTCGACATTACCGCCATTTTGATAATATTCCATCTAATCCTAAACTAGTAAGTTTGGATCTCAAATAAATGGCGAGTAAATTAATTAGCCTCTGAATTGTAAAAATTTACGACAAAATGCATTCATTATACTTTATGAATATGAATTTATTTGAGACAAAAAATACAAAATTTGATAATACATTATGTTTTTCCTAAAGTAAGTATTCATTTTAACTATACATCAACGTTATTATCATTATTATTACCATCAAACTTCAATTTTATCCGTTTTTTTTTATGCTACAAAGTTTGTCACATAATGAGGAAATAATAGATGATATTACCAATATTATGTCATTCTTAAAAGAAAATGACGTTCATAACGACAATGATTTTATTGTCTCTGTTGAAGAATTTAAGTTTGAGAATCTTTACATTGAAGAACCTCTGATTTCAATAAAATCTAATAAACATGTACAAGATTTGCCAACTAAAGTTATTGAAATTATTCCTTTGATCATAGATGATATTGATTTAAATGTTCAGAATGACCAATTAGTTCCTGAAGAAACTGGTGTTAAAGCACCTTTAGAAATGTTGAATGAATGGGGTAATGTTATATGGTTTCATATTTCTTTTTTGAATTATTCCATCGCTTATTTATATATTTTTTTAAGAAGGGATTAATGAATCGACTTTTGAAGAAATTTCAGATTCTAGTTTTATAGAATTTGAAGTTCAAATTGATCCATTTTTGTCTTCCCGCGAGACTCTTCAATTAGGTATAAATAAAAATAATATGCAAATTAACTTTAAGTGTGCATTGATACATAAATTTATTATATGTCCTTTTAAATATTGATTAATGGAGAGCCGGCAATAATTCCTATAAAACATGATCCTTTAGAGATAGATCGCAAAAAACGGCGGTAAGGTGTTATTTCTATTTTACTAGTTTAATTTTATATTCTTGATAAATTTTATCTAAGATTTATCAATAATAATAATTAGTAAAACCATTTTTGGATCAGAGAATGAAGCTGCGGATGACAAAGACGTGACAATGTATTTCTTTCCTTTTTATTTTATACATTTTTTAAAAGTATATTTAATGTATAAAAAACACCTTGAATTTTAGAACGGATTCTTTAGCACAAACAATCAAATCCGTGATATCTGAAGATGCTACCCTAATGCATCAGAAATTGGATGATGAGACAGCACTTCAATTTGATCTTGAGAAGATACTAGAAGTTGACAACCCCTCTGAAAATTGGAAATCTGTTATTATGTGGCAATCCATGGATGAACTAGGTGGATTAAAATTCAAGGGTAATAATTTAATATTTTTAATAATTTAACGTCATTAAAATGTTAATCTCGTTCTAATTTTTTTTTTTAAAATAAGTTCCGCAGCTACCGCATCCAGTTTCTCAAATCACCAGAGGAAGTGTAAATGATGATGGCACCTCATTCCCTTTAATACCAACTAAAATTTTTGATTTGATTGCACGTCCAAATTCAATGCATTCAGATTTTCAAATATTAACATCTTTTAGTGGAATGAAAGCTTTGGAATTTGAGTTACATTGGAATCCAATTAAAAATATTTCTCAAATAGAATTTGAAGAAATCGTCAACGTGAAGATCTCATCTCAAAAAATGTCGGATACTCTTAAAGATCTATGTAGCTGTGCTAACAGTGATGATATTTTGGATACAGTAGATGTGCAGTTCTTTAATGAACTTAATGATCCACATTTGATAGCAAGAAAAGAAAAGCATAAAGGCGAATCTCTGTCGGTTTATTCACAGCTTTCTAACTATGATAAATCAATAATAGGGAATAAGGATAACATTATCCATACAAATGACTTGGATTCATCTAAATGTTTTCCTGCTGACGGTGAAGTTATAGTTGAAAATTCTTCATTATGTTTCTCAGAATACGAAAAACTCCCTCCGAGCAGTGAACAGCAAAACTTTAGTAACCTTCAAAATACACCAATATGTAACGAGGTTTCGTCAAGGGCACAATTCGATTTTAAGGGTTTACAAAATTCCCTTGCCAAACAGAATCAGAACGCTAACAAATCCGGATATTTTACTGGCGCTTTTTCGGCAACCAAGTCAATAGATGATTTCTTGATTTTACGAGGAAAAATTACACCACAAAATATTGATTCAAAAAAAAGATTTAAATATAGTGAAGGTAACAAATTTGTATAATGTTCATTCCAAATACTTAAATACCGGTAAGCGATTTATAAATATCACGAACTTTTACACGAAATAAATAGTTCCCAGTATCAACAATACGCCAAAAGATAACACGACACCAGATGACCGATATACTCGTTATGCACACATAATTCCCTTTCCCTCGCCGGTGTCACAGCTTACTGACAGTGACAAAAGCAATCAAAGCATGCAAAGTGTTCACGTTAGTATGTATTTTAGGATAATTACATATAATTATTTACTATATAACAATATTAATAATATAATATATGTAAATAGTGGCAAGAACCATCATTGATAATATGCCAATGCCAGTAATTACTCATAAATACATAGTATCGATCCGACTTTTGGCAAACCGTGGCTTGTTATCAGCTTTAAAAAGCATTGACTGCAAAGTTGAAGTTTTTTGAACGTGATTT